GCACAATATTTACAGCATTCCCCTGACCCTCTAGCTTAGTGACCCTTCAAAAAAAAGGAAATGAGATTTTTCTGGTGTGATCTGATTCTAATGATGTGGCTTTTTGAGGTTCCTGCTTCCATTTCAAAATTTTCACTAACTATCCCTTTAATAATGTTTCAGGATTTTGCCAGGAATCTAAGTCAAGTTCACTGGCCATAATTTAAGATGCCATTCTCTTTTCTTTAAAATAACAAAATAAGCTGTTTCCTTCTCCAATTCTACACTATCTCTGTCATTCAGAAATCATTCCCTCCTCTGGCTCATCCATCTCTCATCTAATCAGTAAAAGGCAATGTTGATATTGCCTTTGTCATTTCAAATCCAATCTTTTTTTCCCCTTCCCTTTGTTTCATGAGTTCATTTTAATCAATTCTATTCAATTCAACAAGCATTTATTAAGTACCTGTTATCTGGCAGCTAGGTGGTAGTGGCTAGAGCACCTGGGCCTGGAGTCAGGAATACCCAAGTTCAAATGAAACCTCAGACACTTACTATCTGGGTGACCTCAGGCAAGTCACTTAACCCGATCTGCTTCAGTTTCCTCATCTATAAAAGGAGCTGGAAAAGGAAATGGCCAAGCACTTCAATATCCTTGCCAAGAAAACCCTAAATGAGATCACAAAGAATCAGACATGACTGAACAACCACAATAAGCAAGACATCTTGCTAGGTGCCAGACACAAAAAGCAATCAGGAAACAATCCTCGCCCTCAAGGAGCTTACATTCCACTCCGAGAGTGCTGCACATACTCAGTTAAATGTTACTGAAGTCAGAAACCTGAAACATTTGAGTAAGACTCTCTTTATTGGTGGAGAGAATGGTGATTCACTCTGTGCTAGCCTGAGTCCTTCCTACTTGAATGAAGAGAGGACACATGATCTTAGACTCTCACTGGGAAGAGAATGGGAGAGAAGGAGAAAAGATTTTAGAAGGCAAATGGATTGAGAAAGGTAACTCCTTTCTGTGACTTACAGTTTGCTTCTCTAAAGATTTTGGAGAATTTCTCTTTGAGTGAGAATGAGGTTGATGCTAAGAAATCTCATTCCTAGTGAGAGAGTTCATTTGCTCTGTGTGTTATTTGGCATATTCTAAAGTTTATCACTTTGCTGATTTCTGTTCGCCATCTGCCTACATAAATGAGTTTATTCACTATTCACTATTTGTGATGAGCTCTTGTGTAACTAGCATTTGGTGGGAAGAGATCAAACTTTTTGATATAAAGTTGGGGTATACCTTCCTTTTTAAAGAACAGTGACCAGGAAAGCAATTTGAGCCTAAGAATAAAAATAATTCTCTTAGACAAGAAATATTTCAGGGCTCAGATTCATATTGTTCTAATCTGTTATTCCCTCTCCAAGAAGAACAGAGCAGCCAGGCTCCTGGCCTCTTCTCCTGCTCCCATCTCTCTTGGAGAGGGATGGTCAAGATCCCTCCGATATCAAAGCCTCCCCTCAAGCCACATGTAAACAAACTCCTGTGGACATACATATAACCTACATGGATAGCACATACACCATACATAAGTAAATTCAAAAATATAGAGAAATTAATACACACTGGGATTCAGATCTTGGCTGTCTCTCTTCCTTTGATCAATCAGAGAGCCCCATGTAATGCTGGGATTTCCCATGACAGGGTGGGGAAGGCTGGCCAGCAGAAATGTAACCCCCCAGAGCACATTGCAGCTGGAATCCATGTCCTAGGTGAATCTGGGCCTGGGTATTGGGCTGGCCTTTTCTATGTTTTTACATGATCTTAGGTGAAAAAGCATCAATAGATTTTTAAACTAAATATACATTTTTCCTGCCAAAAGTTTTTTTCCTAATAATTTTTTTTAAAAATTCTTTCCTTGGATACAGCTCAATCTTTTCAGAGTAGATGAAAAGATTACCCTCAGCCAATGACTGAGCATATAATACATCAGAGGTACTTGGATAAAGACATACATGGCATGCTTATCAAATTTGAAGATAACATAAAGGTGAGAAAGATAGCTAATACTCTGGATGACAGTCAAGATTTGGAAATCTCTTAACAGGCTAAAACATTGGACTGTATCTCTTTAAAAATTTAATAGGATAAATGTGGACTCTTTCACATGGGTTAAGAAAATAAACTTCATAAGTGCAAGATGGGGGAGCTTGTGGGGAAAAGATCTGGGGGCTTTGGCAGACCACAAGCTTAATATCGATCAACAGTATAAAATGGCAGGGGCAGCTAGGTGATGCAGTGGATAGAGCAGTGGCTCTGGAGTCGGGACAGCCTGAGTTCAAATCTGGCGTCAGACACATAAAAACTCTAGTTGGGTGACTCTGAGCAAGTCACTTAACCCCAATTGCCTCACTAAAAAAAAAAACAGTATAAAATGGCAGCCAAAAAAAATGTAATCTTGTGCTGCATGAAGAAAGACCTGGTATCCAAAACTAGAGAGAGAGGTGGTACTGCTGTGGTGCTTTCCCCTGATCAGACCATCTCTGGAGTGTTTTGTTCTGTGTATCTGAGGTGGATGTGTCTACGGTTGGAAGGAAGCTACCTCGAGTTTTAGAAGTTTGGAAGTCATGAGTCTAATGAGTGGAACTGACAGAAAACAGGAGAACTTCATGCATCAAAGAGGATACCACCCACAAGGAAAGAAAATCAACTCCTGGCCTGGCTTACCAGAAGACTTAAGACTTTGAGGAGAACAGAGTGAAGTGAGTAGAACCAAGAGGACTTTGTACACAATAACAGCCACGCTATGCGATGACTAATGTTAAACTGAACCCTTCTCAGCATTATGAGGATCTAAGACATCTCCAGAGGCCTCGGGATGGAAAATGCTGTCTACATCCAAAGAAAGAACTATGGAAGTCGAATCGCTATCACTTATTTTTACCTTCTGTTGAGTTTTGTTTCATCTTTATGATGGTTCCTCCTATTGGTTTTAATTTTTACTTACAACTTCACTAATGTGAAAATATGTTTAATGGGTATGTAAATGTTAAAGCCTGTATCAGATTGTGTGCCTCCTGGGAAGGGTGGAGGGGAGGAAAAGGGAGAAAAATTTTTCAACTCAAAAGCATATGGGAAAAAAAATTAAAAAAAGATACAAAGCAAACAGTTGTTTGGGGGAAAAAAAAGACTTTGAGGAGAACAGTGCAGAACCAAGGTGAAGTATAAAATGCCAAATCAGCAGGCCTGAAAACCATTTCATGTTTAAATGATTTAAAGTATTGAATTGATAATTAATTTATGAAATGACAAGTTAGAGGCAGGCATGCCGGTTCTTTGGGTACTTGCTGGAAAAGACCATGATTGGCCGAGGGAAACAGGAGGCAATCATGCTTTCATAAGGCACAGAGACAAGTGGCAAAAAGGTAGACTGTGAAATGGGTACAGGGGATAGGAGAGTGAAGCAAGGCATCCTGGGGAAGAGGGGAGGAGTAGAGAAGGAGAGTATTGCTCACAGTTGGGAGCACGAGGCAGCATGGACCCTTAGGAGACAGAAGAGGACTGGGGCAGGGGGAGGGGGCAGGAGTTCGAAATCTCATTTTTATAGAATTGGGGGTGGTACACAGACCAACTCATATCTGTGCCACCTTGAGGTTAGTTCATTAACATATCCAAATCATCTCAAAGTTATTGGCAAAACTTCAAAGTTCTATCTCAAAATCATCAGCACCTTTTTGATGTTCTACTGGTCTGAAACTTGTGGTGGTCTAGAATTTACATATCATAGGACCCAAAGGCCCTGACAGCAGGACCTAGATGGCACCTGCTGATTCATCACATATTGCCAGAATGTGGATTTTGGTTAATATATGATACAATTTGTAAATTATGCTCCTTTGATCTTTTCCACCGTTTGTATGTGACTTCCAGATTCCCCTTTGCAACTTTATTTCCTGCTAAAATTTACTATATTGACTAGAAAGATGGGGAGCTGGGGAAGGGGTGGTGGTGGTGGTGGTCAAGGAGATCAGAACAAGATACAATTTTAACACAAGTATCGACTTCTCCAAAGAACATGATATTAGCTAGTAATGCCGCCTGTTTGCTTCCATCAAATGTGTATTTTGTGTTGTTATTAGCATTTCTTTTGTATGTAGGAAATAAATACCTGCCCCATACCTGATCCATATTGTACACTGAACACCTCTCTACTCGACATTTTCTTCTCTGCCCACCCTCTAGCATCAGGAGGACGTTAGACATTAGCCAAAACCTAAAACCTAAATCTTAAGAAAATTCCCCTGGGGCACAGCCGGTAGGGAAGAGGGGGAGGGCATAGTGAGCCAAAATGTGTGAGAGAAAGGATTGTATCCCCTTTCATTAGAGGCTCAACTCTCCCTAGGCTAAATCCGGACTGGACCACCAACCTGGTTCTGATCAGAGGAGCTCCTTTGTGGAGAGGCAGTGGGTCTAGTACCTGGGCCCAGCATCTGGTTCCTTATTGTTAAAAGTACTTAAATACATGTGATTTCATTAGATAGGTAATCTTTCCACTCAGATTCCCTCTACAACTTAGAAAATGGTCTTCAGGAGTTGCTATGGTTATCCCCCTGAGAGCAATCTGGTGGTGACTCCCTGATCGGGTTTTCTTGGATCTCAGTCAACGGACAAAAGCCAATCACTAGGCAGACCCTCAAGCCTTCTCTTCGTTGTGTCTGTGAAGAATCCAGGGTCACCCTATGCCACAGTGAAGATGCTGTGAGACCTGAGTGGAATTAGGATCAATTATGATCCAGGTTCTTTAGTTTAGCAGTCAAGGCTTGTTGATTAATCAACAAGATTTTGTTAAGCACCTACTGTGTGCCAGGATCCAAAAGCAAAAATGCAACTTTCGCTGCCCTCGAGGAGTATTGTGGTTGCTGGCCCTTCACTTTTAAAGTCACGGCGTCACGCCATGACTCGAGCATGAACTGGACTTAAGTGGGGCAGAGCTGCACAAAGTCGTCAGCCTCGCTCTCTCTTCCAGACTCGCAACGACTGGTGATGCCGCGGATGACTTTGGCCTTTTCCACGTCTGACCAGCTCTAAGCATTCCTCAGCGCCTGCTTCAGCCGCCTTCCTGACCGTTGGAACAAGTCGCTCTCATCCGCCCATCCCTCCAGGGGAAGTCTTCACACGCGGCGGTAGACGCGCCCCTAACTCACCAACAGGTTTGAGGCCCTTTGGTTACCTTCAACCTGGCTTAGCTCATCTGCCCAGATGCTTTTACCAGGGTGTGGCCACTGCACAGGCTGTAGCTTCTAGGAGCCACAGGTGAGAGTCAAGGAGCATACATTCTGTTGGGAGAGATAGCGCGTACTGGTATAACCATATGAAAAATAAATATATAAGCGTGAGGTCATTGAGGGAAAAGCAGGCACTAGGAGCTGGAGGGGAACCAGAGAACTCTCATAGAGAAGATAGCACTTGATCCGACCTTTGAAGGAAACCGGGGCTTCCTTTCTAACTTTATCTCCCATTTAGTAAGTGGCTACTGAAGCTTCTCCCATGCACCTTGTACTTTCTTCCCTCTAAACTAGCTCGTTCTGTTCCCTGGTCTTTAATCCCTCCTGTCTTCCCTCCAGCAAAATCCCTCCTAATCTTCAAAGCCCATCTGAGGACTTTTACTGTCTGAAGAATTCATTCTTAGAATACTGGCCATGAAATGACCAGGGACAGTGGTACTGAGGTCAGTTTTCTCAGCCATATGTAAATTTCAGTCTTGGCTCCAGCCCCAGTCTTAACCCTCAACCCCAACCCAACCCCAAGCCAGCCCTAGTGCCAGGAAATGGAGTAGGCTGGAAAGAACATTGGCAGCATCACATAGTAAAGTACTGATGTTTCAGAGATGGGTTTCAGAGGCAAAGAGAGGCTTGGAATCATGGAAAGTGACTACACAGTTCCCCAAAAATGATTTGGCTCATTCTCCCATTCCAGTCTAAATCCAGCTTAATATTATGGTTGACTCAAAGTCCACTAAAAGGGGGTGGAGAGTATAAAGAGGCAGCCACATATTACCATAAGAGTCAAGTATGGGCCAGCAAGAGATGATCTGTTTGTCTTCCAAGAAAAGCCCTTCCAACTTAGTTTAGTTCAGTAAGGGTCATCTTCAGGTTGGCTGCTGTTCTACCAAGCAGAGAAGGATTACAATCTGCATCGGCAGAATAGGAACTCACCGGGATAAAAGCAGCAGGCAGGTAGCCTAGTGGATAGAGGACTGGACTCAGAGTCATGAAGATGACATACTTACTAGCTGGGTGATTCTAGGCAATCTACTTAGCCTCAGTTAACTTTCTCAGTTTCCTCATCTGTAAAATAAGGATTAATAATAGCACCTACCTCACAAGGCTGTTGTGATGAGATCACATATGGAAAGGTTTCCAAACTTTGAAGTGCTATGTGAATGCTAGCTATCCCAGAATTACTGAAGCAAGACTTTCACGCAACAAGGGGAACTAAACAATGTTAACCTCCCAGAACAAATCCCAGAGGATTTGTTCTATAAAACTTGGACTCAGTCAAAAGGCCTCATTTGAGGACCTAGAGAGCCACATGTGGCCTCAAGGCTTCAGGTTCCCCACCCCTGGTTAATCTCTTAGGTCTCCCTTAACTTCAAAATGCAGTTCTAAGTTAGTGAGCTCTGACTTGGAGCCTCCAAACAACGGAGACTTGTGATATCCTCGGACGCCCCTTCCTCTTGTTCTTCCCCCCGCCACACACACACACACACACACACACACACACACACACACACACACACACCACGCACGCACACACACTTCCCAGTCCAAGGGCACAGGCTTTAGGGAAGGCTAGAAAGAATAGACACATGGCCTGTTCACATCAGCTGAAGTTAAATCATCTAGCTCCAAGCCCTGGCGAGTAGCAATGCTAGACAAAAGCTGGAGAAATCCTTCCTCAGTCTGTGTGGTTCAAATCACTGAAATGACTTTCCAAAAGAAAAGATCGTCTGTGATAGAGGTTATCACAGACATGAAATGCGTTTAAGTAGCAGATCCTGGAAGGATTTCCCTTTAATGAGCCTTCCGTGAACAAACCAGCCTGGATCTCAACGGCAAGATGACTTCAGGGTCTTTGGTCATTTTTCTCTTGATGATATATTTTAGTGCTGATGCATCCTCCAATGCCTGGCCTTGGTGTGAGACCCGAGAACAAGCTGTTTAAAACTCACTACCAGAGGGTTCACTTTTACCCTGCCTAGCCAGGCATTGAGCATTAACTTAAAAAAAAAATCTAAGCTTATATGTTAATCCAGCAGGGGTTAGGGTGGATTTGGAGTCAGAAGACCTGAGTTTGAATCCTGCCTTATTTCTTGCTTTGTATGGCTTTGAGCAAGTCACTTTGTGTCTCCACACCACATCGTCTTTGACTATTAAAAGAAAAGATTGGACTACATGCCTCTTTGTTGCCTTTCAGCCCTAAATCTCAGATCTAGCCAGCCTGGGGACAGTTTCCCTGAACTGTTTAATGAGCTCCTTCTCCCACTTGCTGTCTGTGCAGCAGTTTAAAAAACAAAATCACCAAAGATCACAATTCCTTTTTCAGAAAAGACTGTTGCCCTTGAAGAGATGCCTCTGAAATTCTCCTCTTAATTCGTCATGATTTGAATAGGTGGTCTTGAGGCAACACTTTTCCCTAGGGGCTTTAAAAGATGCTTGACTTTCCCAAACACTCCAGTAGTCTTTGGAGGCATTTGCTTTTACTTTTCCAGAGAGCATGCTTGCAAGCATGTCAGTTCAAATCCACAACCATTGTGCAGAGCCCCAAATTTCACAGCTGGCAGAGCTACTGCCCAGTGTCTGCCCTCAAAGAGCTTGCAGTCTGCTTGGGAGATTGGAGGTCAACCTAGACAAAGAGGGTACAAATTTAAATCTGGTCAACAACATAATAAAGAGGCTGGGTGGGGTAGTGGATAGAGAGCTGCCCTCAAACTAGGAAAGACCGGGTTCAACTGTTTCCTCGGAGCCACATTAGTTGTTTGATCCTGGATTAGTCACTTGACTTGAAAACTTTTTAAGACTAAGAGCAGGACACTTATGAGCTATGTGACCCTGGGGAAGTTACTTAACCCCAAGAGCAGATGCTAATCTACACTGGTGGAAAGAATTTTATTACTTATTTGTTTGTTTCTTTAGAAACAAGTGAAAGCATAAGTCTGGTCCAAATTATGATAATGGACATTTACATAGCAGGGTTGCAAAGTGCTTCATGTCCACAGTTCTCATTTCAACCCTGTGGAGCGAGTGCTATTATTATTATTATCCCCATTTTATAGATGAGGCTCACTGAGGTTATGAGGGTAGCTCAGGGTCCCATAGCTAGCAAGTGCCTGAGCAAGAATTCTAATCCAAGCCTGGCATTTTATCTACTAGGTTTCCACAGAAAAGGGGGTAAAATGCAATGAGATCAGAAAAGAGTGATCATTTCCAGCTTCCAGGGGAATCAGAGGCAGCAAGGCAAAGGGGAGGGGGGAATAGGTGTCACAAAGATGTGGGTTCAAATCCTCGCTCATACATTTTCAATCTGTGTGACCCTGGGGAATTTATTAACCTCTCTGTGTCTCAGTTTCCTCATCTGTAAAATGAGCTGGAAAAGGAAATGACAAACCACTCTAGTTTCTTTACCAAACAAACCCCAAATGGGGTCACGAAAAGTTGGTCACAAATGACCACCAACAAATGGAGGCCTGGATTTCGTGGCCTTTCAGGTCCCTTCCAGTTCTAGGGCCATGAACAGCTGATGACTTGGTAGAGGTGGTGCCCTAAGAGAGGGCCAAAGTGCTCTGAGGAATGGAGAGCCTATCTGAAGTGAACATCCATTTGTACTCCTTCCTCACCAGAAAGTGGTAATAAAGAGCTTGAAACAAGCTCAGCTAGATGGGCCAGTGGAGAGAATTCTGGACCTGGAGTCAGGAAGACTTGAGTTCAAATCCAGCCTCATACACTTCCTAGCTATGTGACCTTGGGTAAGTCTCTTAACTTTTGTTTACCCCAGTTTCCTTAACTATAAAATGGGGAGCATAATAGTGCTTAGCATCATAAAAGTGTTTAGCATGGTGCCTGGCGTATATTAGGTACTATATAAATGCTATTATTATAAAGTCGAAAAATATTTCTGTGATTTCTCCACTGAAATATTAGTTACATAACATCTTGTTACAACAATTAGCTCATTTGACTCCTAAAGTCCACTTGGTTCCCTCTTCATCAGCTTTAGGGAGTTTGTTTTAGACAAAAACTTGAGTTGCATTTGAGCCTGGAGTTAAGAAAATTCCTAACACTTAGGTAGAGGTTAGGTTAGAGGTTAATCTAACCTTCTCTCCCTCCGTCTCTCTCTCTCTCTCTCTCTCTCTCTCTCTCTCTCTCTCTCTCTCTCTCTCTCTCTCTCTCTCTCTCTCTCTCTCCTCTCTCTCTCTCTCTCTCACCCCCCATTTTTTTGTTGAGGTAAAATGTGGTTTATTGGAAATTTGACCAGTCTATGAGGCACAAGCATTGGCAGGTCTTACCAAGCTGAAAAGGATTTGAGTACAGCTTCATGTCCAAGGACCAGCCTACCAGTATTCAGAGAGGAAATTGCCAGGCTCCATGAAAGGTGAGAAATTTACTTTAGGCAACTAGGTTATAGAGGTATGGCAATCTGTATTAGTGGAGGCAGTACCCAACTGGGTAAAATGAGAGTACCCTGAAATAATGAAGGATCTCTACCATTATGGATTGTCGTTCAGTCATTTTTCAGTCGTATCTGACTCTTCAGGGCCCCTTTTGGGGTTCTCTTGGCAAAGATACTGGAGTGGTTTGCCATTTCCTTCTCTGGCTTATTTTACAGATGAGGAAACTGAGGCAGATAAAATTAAGTGACTTTCCCAGGGTCACATAACTAATTAGTGGCTGAGGTCAGATTTGAACTCAGGAAGATGAGAATTCCTGACTCTAGGCCCAGCACTCTATCCTCACTGCATCACCTAGCTGACCCATAATGGACAAGTCAGAACAAAGCAGGCCTAGCTGAAGGAGGAATGACACATGCTTTTAGACCCCTGAATTAAACAAGCATGTGTCCCAGCAGCTAAGTAAACAGGAAGATATACTGGGCCATCTAGATTTCTGACCACATAAAGCATACAAACTGATAGATGGACAAGTTGGAAGGGACCTTAGCGATCACGTGGTCCAAGTCTTTCATTTTACAGGAGAGGAAACACAAGGCCAGTCCTTGGGCATGTTCTTTATTATACAGCTAATGAGAGATAGAAC